ACAATATACAAAGATCAAGTCAAAAGTGCTGTAAATTATGATATGCCAAACTGAATTACAGCTAACAATATACAGTTAGTACTTAAACATTTGTTTCTAACTGTCTAGACGAGTGAGCCAGAAAAAAAGTCTTAAAACTATGTAATTTTTTAGTTGGACAGCGTTGATCTCACATATGAGTATTATTGTTACGTTAGTTTATTTTATAATAATGTGTCTTATGTGCTTTTGGTAATCAAATAATGTACACATATTTAAAGTACACGAACCTCTTTCTTTGTGAATAAATGGCCCTACGTCTGTGTAGTTGACAAGCGKACGATCTAGAGGGAATGAACTAGCTACAGTTACGTTGTGCCCTCGGAGCGCTAACTCTTCGAACAACGGTTGAAATCCGCGAAAATGGCTTTTAATCGGCAACGGCATAAATACTAATATATTTGCCGCCCTTGTCACCGTGGTGCATGCTGTGATACACAAAACTGAACAAAAAAACATACTCGGTAACGTCATGTTAGATGAAATTAATTTTGTGTAAAAAAAAAAAAAATAAAATAAAAAATTGTTTTTAATATTATGACGGTCTATTCAGTTGGATTGCGTGAAATAAAATATATTATACTATATAGGTAATTATTACTCATGATCGAATTGAACAAGCAAATAAAAATGTTGACACATAATTCGGTGCAACAGGTGCGCCCGGCACCTATTCGTACACTATCGATGTCGATAACTGAAATTTAGTTATTGAAAACTATAGTCGTACTGCAGCAGGCAGATATTCTCACCATAACAACCGGTTTAGATATATAGTTAGATATTAGTTATTCAGTCTTTAGTGCGTATTATTATTTATTATACTACTTTGATAAAAATTCTATCAGTCGAAGACCTTTTGATTGATACAGAGTCCAAAGTAGGTAATATAACACACTCTGATAATATGTAAATATTATAATTACTTAAAATATAATACCTACTACAATATTATCCTATTTGATTACTGTACGTTTTCTACAGACMAGCTATAGGTACTTGTGATTTGAGTTGTAATTACAAATTTAGATCACTCGAGTCCTGCTGCAGTATTTCGTGTAAGGCTTAATCTAATAGAAATGAATTCATTTCATACTCATAAACACTTAACTGCAAGTGTAATAAAATGGCTATAGCGGGGCGATTAATATTTATTGATTTTGTATTACTTGTTTTTGCGTTTGTTTATATGTGTACGCTATTCATAATATATAGGTAGTACTTTCGGGTTTCCGGTGCTTTTCGAAGTAGTCGAACAAAATTACATAAAATTTAACACAATATATTTTGTTCTAATATGATGTTAAAATAAAAAATGTACCGAATTCGGATCACTGTTCGATGCGCGCGAGTTTTTCTCGTAAAGCACTTTTTTGAACGAAAAATAGGTATGGCTCGTGCAGACCCGTCTCTTATATAAAGACTAAAGAGATATAGGCACAATTGTTTTTTCGTAGATATTTCAAGTATTTAGAAACGAGATGTAGGTATCGTATCACATACCAATACTGTTTGAGCAAGAATAAATCATAATAATATCCACACTAATAACGTATTAAATCAAAAGAATATTTTTGTGAAAAAATATTTCATGGCATAAAAAAACAAGAACAACAATAATTTGCAAAATTAACGCGTACCCCTGGTGGGACTCGAACCCACAATCCCCGGTTTAGGAGACCGATGCCTTATCCATTAGGCCACAGGGGCTAGCTCARAACTTTTCGTGATGAACAACATGTTACGATAATAATATTATTAATAATGCCATTGATTATAAATAAATAATAACATTGATCAGTTATTATTTATCTAATATTAATTATTGAATTTCACTTTTGACAATTTCTGTCAACCAAAACCTATATTGCATGTTTGCATCACGGCCATCTCCAACTGAATTAGACATATATTCAAAATACCCTAAAATGTAGATATGATACTGMTACRTTATTAGCTTATTCGCTTTTAAGGTCGCCACACACTGCAGCGGTAGCGGAGGCGGTGGCGGTGGCGGTTACGGCAAAATGAAGCCGGACTCAATTTTACCGCCACCGCTGCAGTGTGTGGGCGACCTTTACTCAGATAACAACGAAATTTCGTGCATGAAGATGTCGACTCCCTCACACTTCACTATTCAAGACTCTAAAGTGTTGACTATACTCAGTATACTCAATGTTACCACAATTATTTAAATAAAACAGTGTTTACAGAAATACAAAATGTTTTGTTACGGTTTAATGATGTTAAGTATAAAGCGTTTTAAACTCGTTCAGAGTAGGTTTAGTGGATTTCCATTTAGGCCCGGCTCTAGGAATAGGCTACTTAGGCCTATGCCTAAGGCGACACATTAGTAGGGGGCGGTATTTTCAAAACGATGATAATGTTTGGGGGGCGGAAAAATTAGATTTTTATTGTTTTTGCTTAAGCCAGCCCTAATTGCCACATAGTTCCTAAGCACTTAGGGATTWGKTATTTGCCTTTTTTTAATGAGTTACCTAATTAGATAATGAACCAAATATGTTATAGTAAAAAGTAAAAAACATATTTCAATTAGAACAATAGGTATATATAATACTATAAATTTGGTTTTAAAATAAACTTCAATAACATTTATTTATATTTGATTTTGTTATTATTACATACAGTTATGATTTCCAAAAAAAAATAAATAAATAAAATGTAAACTAGAGTAAAAATGGTTGAAAGAAAATTAAATAGGTAATAAAATAATAATTATCTACCTATATTATAATATAATTTGCAAGCTTTCGCTTTAGGTGATAGCAATACTTAAGTTATACTGTTTCCTGTTTTGGTATTTTAGATAAAAATTTTGTACGAACTCTATTACTTTAATTACTAATTCAGAATCCATGTTGGGTATATAATCTTTGTTGTTGCCTCAAGAAATATTTCTACGGTAGACTCTAGAGTTTGGTTGTCTTTGAATTTATCTTCTTTGCTTTTCGGTTTCCTAATAGAATGACGATCGACAGTTTTTAGTTTTGCCCGTCAACTTTTACTCTTATCTTCTCAAAATCTTACCAATGTAAATTACAAAATTAGCACATCAAAACACCAAAAATATTGCTTTAAAATTGGTAGGTAACATGTTAAAATATTCGTACTTAAAAGAATTTGTATTTTTAATAACACCTTTAACCTTCTTAATTAATATAATGTATTCATTAACAGTTATTTTATGTTAACTGGAAGTTAACATAAGGAATGATAAACTATTTTTAGTTATAATATATGCAAATAGGTACTTACAAAATTCTATTCTTGTTTAACTTTAATA